ACTTGGGACGATTTAAACTCCGACGAAAGTGATAGTGACCAAAGCCAAGAAGAGAATGCAAATGCTTGCTTCATGGCCTCCAATGATGAAGAAGAGGTTAGTTCTCAAAATTCATTTACCTCTTTTGAAAGTCAAATTACTTTTGATGAGTTAAGGCAAGCGTTTGATGAATGCCAAGAGGACCTTTTTCGAACTATTAGGGAGAAAAAGGAACTCAAAGTGGCTCTTGAAACCTCTCGAGATGAAAACAAAAATTTAAAAATTAATCTTGAGAAACTTCAAAATCAAAATGAAGAATTTCAAAAGAAAATTGAAATTTTGATTAAAGAAAAGGACAAGGCCAAACGAGGGGCTTTGGAAATGTTTTACAATAGCTATAACTCAACAAAAGAATGGGATAACCAACCAAAACTAACGAAAGAAGGTATTGGTTATGGTGAAACCACAAATTTGATGAGTATGGCTAAAAATCATTTTAATACCTCAAATATTAACCCATCAAACCAAGCCTCAACTTCTAAATCAAAAGTAAGGGCTTGTCACTATTGCATGCAAGCTAACCATATGGTGACAAAATGTCCAAACAAATGGTTAGTTGAAATGCGTAGATTAAAATGGGTCAAGAAGGGTTCTAACCGGTCGGAATCCAAGAATATTGGATATCAAAAGAAACCCTTTTTATAGGAAAATAAAAGAAATGATGGAGGATACTATTTCTTTTATTACGATGAAAAACGAAAAGTCCATATACCACTTCCGGAACCAACCAAGACGAAACCTGTATATCGACATAGGGTATTCGTCGATTGGAACCCCAAACCTAAGTCAAAAGTAAATTCCGTTTTGACTAGGTGAAAAATGCTACTTGGGTTGTGGATAGTGGATGTTCAAGGCACATGACCGGAACAAGAGGATGGTTCACAAATCTCAAGGAGAAAAGTCATGGACATGTGACCCTTGGAGACAAATCCCGGAAGAAAGTCATTGGTAAAGGTACGATAGGTATTTCAAGTGATTTTTCAATAAATGATGTTTATCTTGTTGATGGCCTAAAATTTAATTCAATTAGCATAAGCCAACTTTGTGACAATGGCCACAAAATTGAGTTTAATGCAAATTCCTGCATTTTATATGGCCAAAATAAAGATGAAATCATTTTTGAGGCTAAAAGAGATGGAAACTTATACAAGTTCAATTCCAATGACTTAAGCAACTCAAAAATCACTTGTCTTACTACTTCACTTGAATTTTTAACATTATGGCATCGTAGACTAGGACATGCTAGTTATGATCTTTTAAGAAAACTTTACTCAAAAGAACTTGTTGTTGGGCTACCAAAAATGAGCATACCTACTTCTCGTTTTTGTGATGCTTGCTCTCTTGGAAAACAACATAAAGTTTCATTTAAGCCTATAAAAATGGTTTTAACGTCAAGGCCACTTGAACTATTACATATGGATTTATTTGGGCCCGTAGACGTTCAAAGCCTAGGTGGAGCTAGTTTTACTTTTGTAATTGTAGATGATTTTTCTCGTTATACTTGGACTATATTACTTGCCAATAAAGATGATGCGTTTAATGCGTTTGTTAAGTTGTGCAAGAGAATCCAAAATGAGAAAGGTTATGAAATAACCTCTATTAAAAGTGATAGAGGAGGAGAATACCGGAA